TCTATCTTTCCTAAAATAAGCTAGTGCTTGTGTCTAAAATATACCAACCACTCATCTCACAATCATCGATTAGCATTCTAAGTTTAAGTCTAGAAATCCTACAAATTCCTAGTTTGCTTAAACTAATGCTCTGATACCAACTGTGACATCCCCAATTTTACGGCCAAAAAGTTCCGATCTAAAACTCGATTTCTGGGTTGTGCACTACTATGCTAAATCTTAGAAAAATCATAACTTCCTCATATAAAGTCAGATTTGGATGTTCTTTTTATGCATGCTCTCGGTTTAATGTATACAACAAATTTTGTTTAGATTATTAAGTCTAAAAAGTATTTTTTTTATCATAAATTCACTTTTTACGATTCCCAGTGTCGTGCCGGTTTTGCTGCTAAACTTTTACAAGTCATAACTTCTTCGTTATAAGTCGGATTCTAACATTCCTTATATCCCCGGAATCCTTGTTACGATTAGTTCAACTCTCTTCATAGATATTGGATCTATCTATTAGTTTTTTTATGCTTATTTTTATTGCTATTTTATTACATTGTTATAAATAAGTATAATGCACCTAAAATCACATAATACTCAAATAATTCTTTTTATTACTTCAAAATAGGTTAGAATTATTGACCCTAACTATTACATCATCATACTAATGCTTAGCCAGAAACACGGGTATTACATTTGCTTGATGAGGAGTTCATAGATCTAGAATCATCACCCTTTTTGCAAGACTTTGGAGGTATCAAGTCCGTACCTTGGCTTGTAGATGTTTAGATATCTTTATGGCTCGATTTGTTATGTTTTTGGTTCCTTTTGGGTTGGTTATTGAGTTAAGACATTTTAAGGACTATTTCTTTTGGATCTAAGCTTATTGAGAGTTCCTTATGCATAAAGGTGCCAACTTTATGAGGTATTGGGTCTCATGCATGCATTAAGTCACATATTAAGTCCTTTTAAATCTTAAGAGCTTCTTTTAGCCATGCATGAACATAAAGTTAGTAACTTTACATGGTAAATCAGTCCAAGGAAGCCAAATCTAGGTTATGGTGTAAAGTCTTTATAAAATAAGAGCTTAAAATGGAAGTTGGCTATATGCAAGGGTATGTTGGGCATACATGTAGGTACGCTTAGCGTACAAGCCCTAAGGTAAGTACGCTACGCGTACGAGATGAGTACGCCATGCATACTCAGCAGAGTGGACCTTAGATCATTTGGGTTTTGGTTTGGGCCATTCTTGTGGGCCTAGATGTTTAAGGATTTGTTGGGCCGACTTATTTCAAGTGTTCTTTTAGTCTGGGAACATCATTGGGCGTTGGGTTAAGGCCATGGAAGGGAATTGGGCCTAATTTCGAAAATTGGGCCTTATATGAAAATTTGGTTTTTGGGCCTTTTGGATAGTAGGTTTGGGCCTTAGTTTTGGACAAAGCTAGATAAGGGGTAAAATGGTCTCTTTAACCTAATTATGGATGATAGTTATGGATTGAAATCCAAGTATTAATTGGATGTTCTTTGATGTTGATAGCTTAGGATTTGTCGGTCCAGCAACCAGGGATTTATCAGTATGGTTCAGCAATTCAAGGTGAGTTTCCTCACAATGTTTAGCGGGTTGAAGGCACCAATGTCGGCCCATGGTTTGCTATGTAGTGTTCTAGATGTCTGCATGATTCTTTCATGTGTATGTGTTTGTATGCTTACTGGGCGGGGCCCAATGGTTATTCTGTATGCTAGTATCTGGTTATGCATATATGATTTGTTTGTGGGTGGGCTCCTATGATTTTAAGGTATGTTATTATCTTTGTGATTTTTGCATGTGTTTAAATGATTATATGACTATATGGTTATATGTTTAGTAGGAGGGGCCCGTTATATGAGTTTGGGTGGGGCCCGTTATACTCAGTGGGCGGGGCCCATTGTATTTAGTGGGCGATGCCCATTATATGAGTTTGGGAAGGGCTCGTTATACTCAGCGGGCAGGGCCTGTTATATGTACGATATGTATGGTATGTGGTATCTTGGGGAACTCACTAAGCTTTGTGCTTACGATTTTCATTTGTTTCACGTACTTCTGGTTTCAACGGGAAGAGTTTGGGATGATTGGTACACTTGTTTTATTAGGATTGTAATGATGATGTTTTTGGAATACTGATTTTATTAAATTAAAAATGGAACTTTTGGGTCTTATTTTTGGGACGTTACAATTTATATCATCATTGCTCTATTGATAATGACTAACCTATAAATTAAATTTAGGTTGACAAATAGTCCATAAAGATTGATATGCCCATGTTGAAGAACCCATTATTATAACATTGAACTCCTTGATGGAAGATACGCATATCCTCATGATGCCTTTGGACCCAAATGAAAATCATGGGTCCTTCATGCCCACATCCCCATAGCATGGATGATTCCCTTAACGATGTCATTATCATCATATATATCGTTAGGAATAGACAAGTACTAGTTCCTCCACCATTTTGTCATGAGCAGGCGATAATGCCTTTTTAGGAGTCCACTTTTGGGAACTATGACCATGGATATTTTTGGTTAAAGATTTTCTAACTCTTTATATGTGTTAACACTTAACACATTATTATGTTATTGAATGTGTTAATTTTTGTGTTTATTGTCTACATATTATGATATGGGTGCCATTGTTTATCAAGTGTAGTACATGTAATGTTTAATGGATGACTGTACCGACCAGTTTTTCAGTACCCTACGCTTTGGATCAGAGAAAAATTTATTGATCGGACAACTTACCCACCTTGGTTTGATGTTGACTTAATATGTATGAATATATATTACATAAATACCAAATAGCTTCTAGCGCAGCGATCAGGTGTTGAGGTCGAAGGTAAGTTCCCTCTGGGACATAAGGCGGAATTCAGAATAGTTTATATGTAGACTGGATTTTCCATTCAAAAGAATAAGGGAAATCTCCAGAAAAGTCCTAAAATTTTAGTCTAATTTATGAAAAAGTCCCGAACTAATTTTTGTTTACAAAAAAGCAGATAATACCGGCTAAAACTTCGAAAAAACCCTTTGTGGTCGATTTCGTAGATTTAGCTGGTATTTTATCATCTTGCATTAGTTTGCTCAAAATATTAGGACTTTTCTGAAAATTACCGATAACCAAAATATTGGGACTTTTTTTGAAAATTACTATGGAATTAATGGATATTATTTTTAGCAAATCATTTATAAACATATTTTTTTATTATAAACAAAGGAAATACATTTGTTACTAATTTCTAGGAATAGAATGGTCGACTATGTACTTCTCTATTGGTTGTTGACCACTTCAAAGTCCTTATGTTCTTCCTATGTATTGTTATGGGTGTCATAGTGAGAAGTACTCTGTTACGCATGATCAATACAAGAGCTGATAATATTTATTAATACACAATCAATAAGTGTCTACTTGCTATTAAACATGATGTTATATGATCACGTGTTATTAGAAAATATCGTTACACGAACATATAGATCTTTCATTATGTTCTTTAACCTAACTACCACCTAACCTCCAAACATTACCCGGTAACAACCATAAAATTACACACATCTATCGAGAGTGAAAAGCAAACTTTTAATGACAATTTAAATAGATAATAACCATTCACTTGTTTCCATATAAATTATCATTGACGGTTCACTTTTCACATTTTATAGATGTGTGTTAGCCGATGGTTGTTAACATGTAAGGTATGAATGTTGGTTGGTAGTTACATTAAACAACATAAGAGAAACACCAACATTAGAGGAATGCTAACTAAGTTCATCTCACCATTATACCCACAACAATGCATAGGAAGAACGTAGAGAGTTTGAGTGGCTAGGAAGCAATAGAGTATTTAGACCACCAATTTATTCATAGAAATTAGCAATAAATATACTTTTTTTAAATAAAAATATTTTTTATGTTAATAAATGATTCGTTAATAATAATATCCACTAATTTCATGGTAATTTTCAAAAAAATCCAAATATTTTGGTTATTATGTAATTTTTGGAAAAGTCTCAAAATTTTGAGCAAACTAACGAAAAAGAACAGAATACCAGCAAAATCTGCAAAACCGGCCGAAAAGGGTTTTTTCGAAGTTTTAACTGGTATTCTGTGCTTTTTTGTAAATAAAATTTAGTTTGGGGCTTTTTCATAAATTGAACTAAAATTTTAAGACTTTTCTGGAGATTTCTCAAAGAATAATTACATAAATTTATACTACTAATAATATAATATCCAAAATTTGATTCCCCCTCCCCCTGAATTGTGCATGTACATTGTAAATATTTCAACATACCCATTGGTTTTTGGGTGTGTTTGACTTGTGTATATGGACTTTGATCTTATACAACAGTTATACATCGATGACTTATTTTTTGGATACCTAGCATGGTTTACAACTCTCCAGCTCCGTGGTGTGCAACCTTTTAAGTGATAATTGCACGAAGGTAGGGATCTACCCTATCTTGAGGAAGAGCTTCAGGAACTACCTTGTTTACTATTTCCTAGAAGGGTACCGACAATCCACCCAGTAAGGTACCACAATATTTACCAAAGGGCCTTTGACCTAGCGGTAAGGAGTGACCCTCTCAAATGAGAGGTCATGAGTTCAAATCTCATTTGGAGACATATGTGGTGCTTAGAATTTGATTAGGACTAGGATAGTTTGTCGTTAAAAAAAAAGGTACCACAATATTTAATGTAGGAACTATCTGGTTTTGCTTTTGACATTCCGTGACCATAGTTGATTGGGTTGGAGAAACTTTTATAAGAAAAAAAAATATTTTTCCTAAAACTGTCATATAAGGTAATGAGCAAACCCTTAACTTTTTTCTTGATTTTGACATAAAAAAAGTTTCACTTCTTAATTTTTATAAAAACACATAATTTTAAAACATTAAAAAAATTTATAAGATAGAATATTCAGTAAAAAAATTCCAATTACATATTACAACAATATATAGTAAGATATTATTTACAAAATTTATGACGTTCTTTGTTGCAAAGTTTTTGCAATAATTTGCAGATTCAGCAACACTTTTGATCACAACTTTATGACTTCCTCAAACATGTACAACACAATTTTCAATTGAATGCAAGACTTATGTTATCACCATCTTTTTTACGAGTCTTCTAAGTAGGAATGGATGGAGATTTCTCTTCTCTTTGATCAGCATTGCAAGAAATTTACAAAATACAACGAATTGTTAAACATAAATACAATTTGGGTTTTGGTTTGATCATCATTAAACAACGAGAGATTGGGAAAATAAATCAACAATTGTACCACATGCCATGTATTATCTTAAAACTGTTGTGCAAAAGAGGCAACCATAGACAGAATAATCATATGCACGTGATTTTGTGTATCTACCATGTACTTATGTTATGTATAACATCATCCATGAATGTTGTTGATAAGCAAATATGTCACCTATAAAATTTGATTTTTAGATGATGTATCATGTAGTACTACCTGTGGTAGTCTGATAATTTCAATCAATTATTCGTTAGAAAGATTATACAATGAAAGGGAACTGCTGTTATAAAACTTTACAACGAACAATGTGTAACTTATATATACTTGTGTCACATTTACAACAAAAAATTTGTACATGAATTTGTTAGTCTGTTATTTCCTAGCTCACTATGATCGAAAATTGACATACCTACCGATAAATAAATAAAAGGTGCCATGTGTGTGTGATGATTAATACTATATAATATATATATATATTACACAAACAAAAATATTTACTTCTAGAAAACTAAGATGTTACGATGAGAAACAATAGAATACCAATAAATGTAGCATGTAAGCAAGAATCATGATGAGGGTCAGTTGATAAGGTTTATGCTGCAGTGAACTGCTGCTACTTGAGATTCTTCTGCGACCACTTGATGTAGCAGACACGTTAACAGGTGTTCTACCTGATAACAAGATTCAAAATATTACAATCTTTTTTGTTTGTTTATATGTGTAGTGCATCATGTGTAGTTTAAGGACTAATTATGTCAATTATGTATAGTTGGGATAACAAATGTAAAATCCTACTCTTCTACCTAATCAAAATTAGAGAACTAGTTTTTCTATTTTCATCTTCAATCAATCAAGAAGTTTATGTTAAAGGACTTACAATCGTGGTCTACCCATCCAATTCGTTGAGCACCCAAGTCATATACGATAGCCTTGTCTTTCAAAACAATGTCTGCATGAAATAAGAACACATAATTAAAAAGGTAATCAAGAATATAAAAAATTTAAATTTAAATAAAATCTTCACATGTCACTGCTTGTAAGTTAATTATACCTCCTAAAATCGTAAGTCCTTGACCCTTAACCTTCTGAAACCCTATACACCATGCCAATCCACCATCCTAAACAGATGTAATTCTTGTTTGTATATTCTCTCATTTTAAAAAAAAAAAAAAATAATAATAACTTATGATAATATTTAGCATGGAAATACCACAGTGTTTTGTTCCAAAAGGTAATTATCTGGTTTTAAATTCATCGAAGCATCACCCTCAAAATTGAAGCTCACAGTTGGAAAGATCTCAGAGACACTGAAATGAAATTAAAATATGATTAAATGGAAATACTAAATTCATTAAAGAGCTATGAAGTTTCAAGATGAAAAAAAAAAACCTATCGTTAGTTAGATAACACTGGTATCCCTTTGCATCAAAAGCTTTTACAGATTGAGGAACAAACTTTGTAATCTAAACATTATGCAAACTCATTAGTCATGAAGATCAGCAACATAAAGTTTATGACATATTTACCCTTTTTCATACTTACAGCATCCACAAAAGGATTATAAGCCTCTTCTGTTAGGTATCCAAGTGTTGTTCCAGAATCAATTATTGTTCCTTTTCGGTGTTTTGATATTTCAAAAGCTGATGGATCAATTGGCAATGTTTTGTCATTGACTGAAATACTAGTCATATGTAGATTATAATGTGGCCTACATGCACAAAAAAAATGATCAAAGGAGTAATATTTTGAAGAACCCTAAATTTTTTTTTTGAGTGAAAGAAAACTTACTGTGATGGAATGAGTGGTGAATAGACCATTTTTGGATTCATAATTTGACCAAGAACTAGAATGCCACCACCATCACCACCACCATCAAGACAATGAGAGAATGCATCTGGAGCTGCCCCTTTTGAAGCAAGTTGTGAAATTACGGATAAACCCTGTTGACCAAAACCAAAGATCCCGTTGACCGCTCTCTCGGGTTCGGATAACTCCCCAGATTGAGATGTGCTACAACTGTTCTATATATATGTTAGGGTCTGTTTGGTATGATGGAATAGAATCATAAAAGATATGAAAGAACAAGGTAATAGAAGGCATCATTACATTCAATCATCATGCTTGATTGAGTTAAAGAGTTAAAGGAATGGAATGAGTTATTAATAACTCACCCGAATATCACTTTGGATGAAGCATTTGATGAAGGGTTTGACTCATCTGATATCATTTCTAAATGAATTAAATCAGACGCATAATAACCCGATGTTGCACTTCCATCTCCATATTTAAATTTGTAAATACAACGAGTGCTTGTATGTGAACAATCTGCATCACCAAATTTCATTCCTACAAGACACATATCATCTGAACATTTGACCAAAGAAGATGTTTTCGAGCTTTCATGATCATAAAACTCAATTGGAACCTGTTTCAGTATGGAAGGAAAGAATAGTGTCACAGTTAGTTATTCAAAAGTCAAAGTCAATGAATCTTTTTACAAATGAGAACTTGAGTAAGTAATACTTTGAGTCCACTAGATGTAGGGCAACCTTTACAGTCTTTACAACTGACCCACAACACATCACTTCCTGTGTCCACTTGTACATAGTATTCCTTTGGAGGTGAACCCAATTGCACTTTTGTATAATAAAGCCTACATATACAAATATATATATATATATATATATATATATATATATATATATATATATATATATATATATATATATATATATATATCTTCAAAATAAAGAAACTGACATATCAAACAACAAAACAGCAGTCCCTTAATTCGAGATGGAAAAATTTGATCTAACGGGTCAACCCGATCAACCCGTTTTATTTAATAGGTTGTGCTAGGGTTGAACTTTCCGATCTGATGCCAAGCCGCCAACCCATCTATATATATATATATATATATATATATATATATATATATATATATATATATATTATTTTTATTTTATATTTTATTTAATCTTATAACCTAGAAAATACAAAAACAAAATCCTAAACTCTTAAAACTTTGGAAACATTTTTCATACTATGATCCATAAGGAAAACGATGTTGAGGATAAGGTTACACACTGCATAAATGTGGGATGGTTAAAGTGGAGGGCAATGACACGAGTTTTGTGTGACAAGAAGGTGCCACTGAAAGTAAAGGGAAAACATTGTAAGATGGCAAGAAGGTCAGCTTTGTTGTACGGATTCGAATGTTGTTGGCCAATTAAAAAGGAATATGAGAGAAAGATGTAGGTGGCAGAAGTGAGGAAGATGGTATAACATTTTTGTACACATCAATTAGGAATTCGTTGGGTGTGGCATCAATTATCGAGAAATTGAGAGACTGAAGATTATGGTGGTGTGGTCATGTCTATAGGAGACAATCGGTTGTTGTTGTTAAAAGCGTGGAGTCCATTACAGTTGAGGGTGTGAGGAGGAGTGGTTGGTTGATATGGAAGTAGGAAGATAGCATGAGATTAGACTTGAAGGAGTTAGCCCTTACCAAGGACATGAGCTCAGATAGTAGAGTGTGGAGTGTGGAGACTTAGAATTAAGGTACCAAAATAGTATTAGCATAGTCTAGGGTCTAGCTCCCTCTTCATTGTTAGTTCTTGTCGGCCTATTCTCACTTTCTTACTCTTGTTTTTCTATTTAATTACATCATGTGTAACTCGCATATTCTTTCAAGTTACTCCTTACATATGGATCCATTACTAGCATATTTATTCATGTTTTACTTGTTCATCCTTGCTCCTCTTTATGTGTGAATTTTCTTTTTTGTTTTCGGTCTCTTTATACGGACATACCATTTTATCACTAAATAGCAGTTGACGTTTTATATGCAAAGATCTTATGGAAGGATATCTTTGATGTGGGCATGATTACGAAACTTTTCTTTTACATATTTATTTGTATTTGCATTTTTATTTTCTTTTTTGCCAAAGGCTTCTATAGAACATGTCTCTCAACCCTATGGAGGGGTTGTCGACCATCCTACCTCCCTCTTACCTCATTTGTATGGGACTCGATGAATGTTGTAAACATTTTTTATCCTATGTAAACTTTGAAATTTAAATAGGTCAACCAAGATCCAACCGTTTATCATATAACAAATTGGTTTGAGAAAAAAAAAAAGTAAGCTAAGGTCAACCACGGGTTGAACCGTTAATCTAAGAAGTTGGGTTAAGTCTCATTTTAAACAAGTTGGGTTGGGTTGAAAATCTCAACCCGTTTAATTATACAAATCAACCCAACCCGACCCATTTCCCTCCCACCCTTAACTGCTCAGTCTTTCCAATGAAAACGAGGAAAAAAATTGCATTTCTATAAAGACCCGGAATTGAGGCACCTAAATATCAAAGGAAAAAAATTGCGTTTTCTTATGAGTAGAGGAGATAAAAAAAAATTACGAAAATGTGGAGAAATTTTGAAAAAAATTGGGCACGAAATTCATTCAATTTAGGATTGTATACAAAAGAAATTAAACTAATTAAATGAAGAATCATAGTATATCACAATCGAGAGGATGTATTAAGAAGAAATAGATTAAGGAAATACCCAACACGATAAGGATCAAAAGTGCCCTGAAGTGGGAAGTCAATAACATCTTTTGTAGAAGACGATAATTGCTGCTTCAAGAATCTACTGTGCCTTAGATTATCTCTATCTCTAAGTTTGCTCAATTCCATCCGTTGATTGTGCGGAAAAGCTCTTTCCAGTTTAAGAGTCGCCGGAGCCTTACACAGAACAACCACTCCCTGCAATAGCACGGCGACAACAATGCCGGAAAATGTCCAAGTTGCCGGTCTTCTGGCCATTACAGAAGCCCGCATCCCTAGTTCCTCGTTGCTTTTACCCTTTTTCTTTGAGACCTTTTATCAAACAGCAAAAAGGCAACATAGAATCGATCAATTATACACGTCGCATGGATTGCGAATGTGGGAAATTCGTTAATAGGACAGATTCAAAGTGGAGAGGTTAATTTGGGGGGTTTCAGAAAATGGATTACGTTTGAGTGATGAAATGTGAAATCCATATTCGCTTTGTATAAATCATTGGTGTTTGATCAACAATGACATGAACCCCAAAAATTGAAAAGGCAGCGAGATCACACCCACCAGAATTTTCTGAAGACGATACGAATCCCGTTTTGATTTCCTAAAAAATCTCTCGCCATGGATGTGTTATGTTTTCTTAGATTTGCCATAACGAGAAGTTCGTTCTTGCTACAATCCTTGACTTGGAGTAAATTTACATAAATGGCCCATCATTATTCATCGACCTTCACTTTTCATCTACATATTCTTGATTATGTTGCTACAGTCCTTCAATAATATTTAGGGTGTGGTTGGCAAAAATAACTGTTAGTTGAAAGTGGGTAGTGTGTAGCAGGTAGCTGGTAGCGGGAAGCTGTATTTTTATTTGTTATACGAGTGTTTGACAAAAGTAGCTGATAGCTTTTAAAATATATAAAATTACATAAAAGGACAATTGATTAAAAATAAATAAATATATAAATATATTTTTAAGGGTAATTATGTAAATTGATTTCAAAAGCTCAGTAACGTTTTGTTAAATGCTACAGGAAGTAGATTTTAGATTTGGAACGTTTTGTTTAAACTAAAAGTTAAACGCTCGTATTGCTAAACGAAACTTTTTGTTTAAACTAAAGCATTTTGTCAAAAGCTAGAAGCTTCCAAATGCTTCCAAAAGCTTCATGTCAAACATGTATAGTATTTACAAAAGAACTACATAACATTATGAACAAAAAAGCAAACATGACACGTTTTTATGTAAAATGCCATGTGTAAAATATTTAAATGGTTAAACATTAGTTGTGATACATGTATCTAATAATTAAAATAAAATTAACACAAGAGCATATGCCCCTGTATACTTGGTTTAACCGTATACTTGGTTTAACCAGTGGCGGATCCTTTATAGGGCCAAGGGGGCCATGGCCCCCCTGATTTTTGAACTTATAATACCCAGATTTTATGTAAATGATTGATTTTTATATTTACAGTATTTTTCTGGCCCCTCTCGTTCATTCTTTATAAACAAAACAAGAAAATCAAAAGGTAGTTCATAAAATTAGGAAACTAGATAAGTTATCAACAAAATGACTAAATATTACTAAAAAGAATCAAAATTAATCATATATTAGGATACGACCTGATTTGGAAACTAAAATCTATAAAATCCAAAAAAAACATATTGTAGTTTACAATTTTTCTAACTCAATCTTTAACGAACAATAAACCATAAACTAGATATTAATGCTTCAAAAAAGAATTGTTCATTGGGAAAAAAAATGGTCACCTCGGAAACTAAAGAATACAAATGTCTTTGTCTCTCTAGTCTTCTGTAAGTCTCAATTTCTAGGATCCAAACCAATGATCAAACAGATAGCAATCAATAAAAATAAGAATGGAGTAAAGGAAAGATAAAACCAAGCATGCACACGTTAATATCACAAAAACATCAGGTACACATGGATACACACATACATCACTCTCAAACTGATACTGACACACGATATTTATAGGACCACCAGCTGTACACACGTGTACAACCGTACACCCATGTACGACCGTACACTGGGTGTACGGACGTACAGACGAGTCCGACCGTACACAACCACACAACAAGCTACACACACCATTACAAAGTACAAAATCCTACCAAAGACCTCTACAAGATGAATGCCTAGCCCAAACCACTATATTATGACCTATCAATTTCTCTCTATCGTTCACCAACTGTTGTTTACCGTTTGTTTTTGCTTCCTCTTCACTGTTTTCCTCTACACACCAGACTTTTGCCGACCTCTGTTTGTTCTTATTTTATCTTCCCACTCCAAAATCCTCATCCTCCGAATATGTGTAAGTTTTTGTTTCTTTCTATCTCTAATTTATTTGTCTTTCTTTCTCTATTACATGTAATATATTATATTAAAAAGTTGAAAGACATATGAAGCTAGGCTGTAGGTACTTGTCTACTAATGTATTAAAAGCCTCCAACAAAACTTTTTTTTTTTTTATTGTTTTGTAATTTTATATATTATTATATTGCTAAACATTATAACATAAATCTTACGAAAAATTAATTTGAAATTAGAATAATTTAGTTTGTTAAAGATGTATATATTCTCTTTTATTATATTTATTAAGTATTAATTAATTTTATATTTTCATCAAAATATAATTATCATTGTTGTAAAAGAATTACAATAAATTAAAAATAATCAATTTGAAATATACAATTGTTAATTATTCTTTCATTTGGTTCTTGGTTAATGGTTACTTGTTAGTTAATTATGTTATTTAGTGTATATCAATTAGAAAAAACAAAGTATTGATAGTTTTCTAAAAAAATATGCAAGCTTTTCACAATATTCTGAACAATCATCGTCAATTGTTTTGGATGCAACTACTAGCTACGACTAATCATGTTATGGAGAACTGATCTCAAATTAAACTTGTTTATATGTGAAGCTTTAGTCCCCCCCGGTTTAATTGATGTAACTATATCATACATTTTCATAAAATGTATAATTAGCATGTTTTGTATTTTAAGATGAGCATTGCATGAGTATATTTCATAAATTTAAAATCGATTAATTGATTTATTGTAGGTTAATAATATCTAAATGCATCAATAATAAATCATGTAATCAACTCTAAAAGGGGGCGTTTCATAAGAAAATAATAACGGGTTAGCATTAGACTCCTTGTAATAGATTGAGATAATTAAATGCAAGATAAATCAAAGTATGATTATTTTGATTGTTGTGTGGATGAGTTGAGTGGATAAGAAGGGTAGACGGCTCACGAACCAACCGCTATAACAATAGTAGAAGTGAATAAAAAAGTTCATTATCAAGAATTAATAAGTAATTCTTGAAATATGAACTAAGTATAGACCATTATTATGGTTGTAGGTGTTTAGAGAGTTGAAAATCTATTTTATCCATTCCAGTGGTTTATTTGTGTGTTTGCTACTTCAGGTGAGTTTTCACGGACTTACTTACTATGTAGATTATATGTTATATGTCGGACTAGAGATAGACCTTTTAGAGGGAATCCAGTGGATTCATGATCATGATAAACCTCTCTGAGGGAAGTGGTCAAGATAGTGATAGACCGATAAGAAGGAAGTGGTCAATACTAGGTCAGTTAGAGATAAACCGCCACAGGGAATATAGTAATTGTGGCCAGTTATGCTAGCATGCTAATAGTTTTATGTGTTACTTATATATATTCAATTATATATGCTCAAATTTATATGTATTCGTTATAAGTTTATGTGATCAGTTAGATGTTATGTGTAAGTTTCAGAATGCTTATCATTTATATAGTGATTAAGTGTATGATTAGTCGCTACGTCTTAGTCTTACAATTATGACTTTTTTATGAAAGAGAGAAAGAGTTCACCCAAAAACTCACTCCAAAATGGAAGCCTTGGGTCTTATTTTATACTTACATGCAAGCAGTATTGTAAAAATCCTGACTGGGTCCCGATTAATCTCATATCAATCCCTAGGCGTTACACGACAAACTGGAAGGCGTCTAGGGATTAATCCCTACCTACAAAATGAGAGAACAATAGCAAATGATGAAATTTTAACACTTTGAAAAAGTTTTATCTCAACATAAACGATTTTAGGAATTATTAGTGTTGTATTAATCATATTAACCTATTTTTGTTATGATATTAGTTGTATTCACGAACTTTGTTATGATATTAGTCATCTTTAATTTTTAAAAATTCAATGAAATAGTAGTTTAAGGTCCCTGATTAATCTATGTCTAACCGATTAATCACTTAACCCCAATCCACCAATTAGCAATGTTTTAAAAACCAATTTTTTAGTTGAACTGGTATGGTGACCGGTTTCCGGTTGAACCGGTTTAACCGGTTCGACCGCTGGGTTAACCGGTTTCTATATTTTTCATGTTTTTTCCTATTTTCGTTTACATAAATACATATATAAATAATGAATTTGATGTTTACAAATTCAAACATTAAAGATACACATGAAAATAAGTTTTTGATGAATCCAAATACATTAAAATAACACATAAGTTCTAATGTTTTACGTCAATCTATATACATCAAACAGAAAATAAAGTATAATACCGTAACGATATATAATTTTAGATGAATATGACATCAAAAAACTTTTATATAGTTTACCATATGTTTTTGTTTAGAGAAAATTAAATAGATATGACAAAAAAATCACCAAAGTTTATTATGTAAATGATTTTTTTCGTATGTTTTCATTCGGTTTAACTGGTTCAACCGGTTTATTTTGACCATTTCAACCGGTTTTTCTAAAAACCAGCCAGTTTAATCCGGTTCAAAAATCAATGTAAAACCACTGATAGTTGAATCGTTCCCTTTCCCGGTTCCCGGTCCAACCGGTTCAAACCGATTTTTAAAACATTGCCAATTAGCTAACTTCGGCGTTTTTTAAAACCTTGCATGAAAGCAGTAAGCACCAACCCTTATAAATGAAAGTATGGGATAAAGGAAAGAGTCGTGGATGTGTAAGAAGTTGTTTCACAAGAAACCTATCCTATTTAGGGGGTGTTTGGGATTTCATCTAAAAACTCTTTTTTAACTTATTGACTTCTTGAAAAGTCAATAAGTTAAAAAATGTTTAGATACCTAATAAGGACTTTTAAAACAAGTTTTGGTTTAGCCTTTGAAAATGAGTTTTGAAGAAGTTACAATTTGTGACTTCTTAGAATGACTTATTACTTATTAGAATAAAAAACAAGCAAAAGTCAATAAGTCAACCAAACACTTTTTAACTTATTAACCAATTGACTTTTTCCAATAAAAAGCTAATCCAAAAACTTTTTAAAAATCTCATTTTCCACATTCATAAGTCAATAGTCCTTTTGGGTAAAAGTCATTTTTAACTTCAAAATGAAATCCCAAACACTCTCTTACTAGAAAGCTACAACTTTGACCTCACAAGGTCAAATCATGATGGTCTTCCATTCCTTATAATACACTAGCGTATGTACCTTTTATTTATATAAACTAACTTTAAATAAATGGAGTACAATAGATCCAAAAATAGGTACACAACATATAAATCATACATTATGAGTTACTAGTTGTTATTCTCTCTTAGAAAATATTCTTTCAATAAATAATAATTATTTCCTCATTACATA